TAGCCACGACGCCAAGCATCAGGGCCTGGCAGCTCGGTGACGGAGGCAACATGCAAGCGGACAGCTGCCGGACGTGTGGAGTAAACATGGTTGAAGATAGCCACTCCCAGATAGCCGTGCTTATTGGGCCGGGCCGAGACACAGTAGGTACGTGAGATTTTGAAGTTCTGGTCAATCTCCAGCTTGAAGAGCTTCTCCGGCACTGCGCTGTCATTGTCAACAAGAACTTGCACATCAGGCGATGTTTTGTCTTTTCTGCGAGCTGCTGTAAAATAAGCCTGCATAGCTGCCTTTAGCTGACTCACTTCAGTAATGGATGTCTTGTCTTGCAAGAGGTGCTTGAGGCCCGTGCGCCACCAGCCAAACAGGCGATCACAATCGTGTTTGAGATGTTTCTCAACACCCCAGTGCCAAGCTATCTCGCATCTGCGGGCCTTGACTTGCTGAACAAGCGCCCAATGAAGCGTTTCGTATGAACGAAAATGCCCCGCACAATCGCTGATGAAGTCAATATTCCAATGTCCTCCTCGATCTACGGTGCGCGAGCGCTTTCTCCAATAGCTGCACTGTTCTGCAAGCCGTGTGATCCAAAATGTTGCTCACAAAAACCAGGCACGTCTTGCAAATGCGTGGTGTCCCAGCTGTGCTCTCGGATGTGTGCTCAACCAGAATGGCACCAAAAATGCCCAATTCCTGACGAGCGGTTCCGTAAAAGCTTGTATCGGTGGCTTTTGGAAGCAATGGCAGGGTCATCAATTCGGCCCAGTCAGCTATGATGCTCAATATGCCCAGAGCTGGCTGTCGCAACATGGCATCAATGGCAGGTTTCTGATGTTCGTTGGAAGCTCGATGAAAGTTATACGCAGTCACGAGCCGCTCCATTGCGCGCAATTCGACGCCACGGTTGCACTCCACCTCACGCAGGCTGAGAATGTCCACGCCCCGCTGACGCCTGACATTCAGAATTTCTGTGCCACATGGACGTTCCCGATCGTGATTTCGAATGTATTGCTGGAAGTTGTGCACATGAAGCGCTGGATGCGCGTTATAATCTTGACCAGAACCATGCGCATCGAAAGCAGTGAAATATTCAGGGCACAAACTACTAAGCTCATCACGGGTCACCTGCAAAAGATGAGTCATTTTCCTGATGACTTTGTCGTCAAAGTCAGCGCAAATCTGGCAGTAATCTGTCAGCAAACGCGGTGGGCGGTATTCTCGAAAATGCGTTCTCAAAATCCTCGAGAAAAAAGACCTGGAAGTCCGTCACAACCAGGTCAAACCAACAGCAGCACTATTACAAAACTCGCAGCGCAAAAAAAAGGTAAGGAAGACACAGTACGAGTTGCTTTAGCACTCATGCTCTCGTTGACCTCGCCAGATTGTTCAAAGATTGTGGAGCGACGCTTCGTCAGCGTATTCGTCAGCACCCAGTCTCCATCGCTGTTTTTGCATGGAGTTGATGACACCTGAGAATATTGCTGAAGCACGTCTTTCACTTTGGCGATGTTGTCAGCCGAGTTCACTTGACTGGGCTGTCCTCGAGAACGTCTTGCCGGGGCAGCTTCTTCCGCAGCCGCTGCCCATCTGACATTGCCAATCTCAAAGCCCATCTGCTGCACGGTTCTCTGGTCTGGAAAAGCTGACCGCACAATGTGGTCCATGCGTTGCCGGAGTTCATATACTGTTCTTGGAGGATACGGCGCCTGAAACCCAGGCAAGGACGAAATTCCGGACAGAAGCTGCACGCACCGCTCACAAGCAGCATCTTGCTCATCTTCCGCCTGCGCGCCGAGGCCGTCACTGACCAAACGGCTCAAGTCAGGCCACTGATCTTCCAACTTTCGCACTGTCTGGACAAGCAAAGCTGCAGCATCAGCTGCCGAGGATTGCTCTTTGATGATGTCACACACAGACGACACAATCGTTTTCTGACGCTTGGCTCCGACAGCTGTAAACGGCTTCCTGCGTGCATCTGCTCCTCTAGAGGAAGCAGGGGGCTCTTCTGCAGGAGGATCCGAGCTTTTGCAAGCTTTGCCAAGCCATGTCCCTTGCTCTGCGTCACTCAGCTCTTTCCACCGGGTCTTCCGCCTCGAATGGAAAATGCAAGCCAAGGCGGAAGAAACAAAGTTGAGCAAACTGGGGCTACAAAACTTGTTGAAAAGATATTCTTCGGAGGGGGGAATGGGCCAATGCTCACTTGGACGATGTGGGGGACTCGTTCTGAACTCGTTTTGGAACTCGTTTTAACATGACCCAAAAAAGGGGGGAAATTGCCGAGGAGCAAATCTTGAACAAGCCAGATGCGTTGCTTCTTGGTGAGGTCTGCCTGCACTCGGCGTCTCATCCGGCAGGGCCTTTCGAGCCGCTGTCACCAGCTCAGCCCGATCCGCAGGGTTGTCCAACAAGCTGCCGAGGAACAAGCGGACAGCAGTGTCCAGCTGGGCATTGCGCGGCATGATGCATAGCTGGCGCTTAGTTGAAGCATCGTTGGTCTGCAGCTCTCTCAGTTTGAGCTGTGCTGCCTGACAAAGAAATGCATTTGGACAGCTGCCCGACCTTACTGCGTCATGTGAGACTTGGAATGCATGACTACCAGTTGTTTGGATTGTGCATCATGGTGCTACGTGTAACCTCCTCATGTGTTAATCGCCCGAGCCAGCCTAGCAAAAACATCTTCAAACAAAGCAAGCAAGGAACGCCACTGTTACAAAGCTGCCTATTCTTGCCAAAAAACAACCCTTCAACACATTGTCACGCTCGCCCAGAGAAGTGTCTCAAGCATGTCCTTGCACATGTCTGAGACAGTGGCAGCAGCCCCTCCTCTTGTCTCCATTTCGTGCCATGGCTGCACTGCAAATTTCTGCATTTGCTAGTGATACCCTGGCCGCAACGCACTATTGCATTGACGGCAAACCCCACCCCGAACGAAAATGACTGCAAAATCAGTCAGCGTCCTGGGCCTCATGGTTAGGCGCGCACTTGCGGCACAAGCACTTATCCCTAGGGCCAAGCCACGCACGGTAGGCAGAAGACACCTGCGCAAACTCTGGAACCAACCCCGCCGCCTCAAGCAGGCTGGGGCTCCGTGAGCACTTCAGCAACACAGATGCGCGCCCGCAACTGTAGCAAAGCCCTCCTGAACAGACTTTGTACCTGAGCAGCCACTTCACTCTATGCCGTTCGGCAGAGCAAATGTGGCAGGCAGTTACAAGTCCTGGCACACTGCCAGGCGGATTCTGCTTCTTGCGCAAGTTGTTCTGCATTTGCTTCAGGTTGGCAAACTGGGCGCGCTTCGTCTTCAGCAGCTTGGCGGCAAGATCGACCAGATCATCTGGACAAGTTCCTTCAGAGGCAGCGGGCAGAGGCTCAGAGGACACGGCGCTAGCAACCTGCACCGCTGGCTTCTCTTCTGCTGAAGGCATCTTCTGCCTCAACCTCTTTGCTGGGGGCGTGTGGCCTCTAGAAGGCCTCGCGCCCTGCTTCTCCGGTGTCTCCAACTGATCATGGGGAAGTTCATGTGCGCAGGGCTCACCCAGGATCGTCACCTGGTCACGCTGCGCAGTTTTGCACGGCACCACTTCCTGCTCTGTCTCCTGCACTGATGCCCCTGCGGTAGCAGCCAAGAACGGAGTTTCCTCGTCTTCCACATCTTCCGCTTTCACTGGAGATGCGTCCACCAACACTGGAATCTCTTCTTTGTCATCCGAAGTCTCTGGGGCTGGCTCACACGACACCAGCTGCACACAAGGAGGCTCATCCAGTGCCAGGGTCTCCTCTCACGAAATACAAAAGGCAGACACGGGCAAAAGACAAAAGCAAAACGAAGAAGCTGGGGACGTGGCTAGTGACGCACGCACCCCTGGACTGGGACACCACCCCAGGCAGGGACGTGGACACCAGCACACGCACCCCCAGACACGGGCAAAAGACAAAAGCAAAACGAAGAAGCTGGGGACGTGGCTAGTGACACACGCACCCCTGGACTGGGACACCACCCCAGGCAGGGACGTGGACACCAGCACACGGGCAAAAGACAAAAGCAAAACGAAGAAGCTGGGGACGTGGCTAGTGACGCACGCACCCCTGGACTGGGACACCACCCCAGGCAGGGACGTGGACACCAGCACACGCACCCCCAGACACGGGCAAAAGAAAACAAACACAAAGCAATGAACAAGGAAAGCAAAGCAAAGCAAAGCAGACACAAAGCACAGAAAAAGCAAACAGAAAGAAAATAATGCATGGAAGGCTCATCGGAACGTGTAATCCGATCTGTCCTTGTAGCCCAAGCGTTGCGCTTGCCGCAAGCTTCGAACTTTTTCTCCGGATGGTGAGATGTAAATCCCTTGGATCAGACAATATCAGGCCACTGTAAGGGCGTTCTTGCAAAGCACAAGTTTCACACCTGTTGCAGTTAAGCATCGATAGGGTTGGCCAGCACTTGCCCCAGAGAGTCTGTAGTAAGTCGCCACGGACCACATGATGCAGATCGTCTGCTCTACACTTCGCCTAACCACCTTGAACCCAAAACACCAAGCAACGCTCTGCCAGCTCCTTGACGTGAACTAGCTCCTGCTCCTGGGGTCGGAGCTGCTTGCAAGCGCGCTGCATCAAAGAGACGGGCGACGAGAGACTGCTGAGTGTGGCACTGCCGCCGCCTTCTCAGCGACTGCAACATCGCGCTGCTGTCTGATTCCCGCCAGGCGCCCTTCCTGAGAGGAGGCCGGCGGGCTGAAGCTCTCTGCAAGGAAGCTGTGAGCGCTGCGCGCACTCGGCCTGCTCTGCGTGCGCCCAGTCGCGCTCGTACAGCATGCGCGCCGAGGTCGCATCCTAAACGAGCCGCGCAATTGCGCATCATAAGCCTCTTGCAAAAGCAAATGGGCGCGGCACAGCGTGGGCCTTCTCCCGGCTTAGCTGCTGCAGCTCTCGCACCTCGGTCTGTCGATGTCAGGCCAAAGCCGCTGACGACCTTGCGAGGTCCGCGCGTGCGCGGCCACCTCACTCCTCAGGTCAGCCAGCGCCCGCTGCCGCTTGCCTTGCGAGGCGGTGCGGCTGCTGTAATGTTTTCCCTGGCCTTTCGGCCGCGGGGTCCACTCCTGAGCAGAGACCGGCGTCGTGCGCTGAGTTTCAGAGGCGGAGATTGCTTCACGTAAGTGGCGCCGGGCTCGCGCGCAGCCAGCTCCATGCCTGCCTTCGTGCGCCAGCCGCCCTGCCAGTTCTCGCCCACAACACAGCGAAGCGGGAAGGTGTTGCCGCCCAACTCTGTCACCACCTGCTCGCCGCTCCATGATGGCGGCGCACCGCCAAGCATCGCACCGCTCTCCGCCGCCGCCGCCTTCTCCACCGGCACCTTCACCGGCAACGCTTGCGCGATCTGGATCGCGCAGAACGGACGCACCGTGACCTGCCAACAAGCGCCCGCTCTACTTTCCGAACAGAACGACCAACGCAAAGCCACGCAAGAAAGCTACCTGCAGCCAGAGCACGTCAGGGCTCCCTCCCTTCAAGTCGGGCATCTCGTACCGCCACATAGCAAAGCGGCTGATGAGCTCCAACGCAGGCTGCAGATTGTCCTGCACCACGTACACAGTACAGCGCCACGGGCCAGCAGCCTCGAACCGTACCAACAACTGGCACTCCGAGGCCTCAACCAACGCGTGCTGCGCAGTTCTTCACACAAACAGAAAGGAACTGAACGATCCCACACTGTGTTAAAAACAAACAACTGTTCGGTTTCAGCGGCTAGATCGGCAACACTTGCAGGAAAGTCCGGCAGGGACCCGCTCTGGAGATACTCCTCTATTCACTTGCTGGCCTGGAAAAGAGGACTCGGCCGGCCTGTGAACGTGACATTCAACTGCATGCAGACGGTGTTTTCAAAGCCGTCTACCACCAGCGCTGCATCCTCGCTGTAGCGATGAATATCCACAACCAGCCCGGCAGCTCCAGGAGTCCCTTGCCGCGCGCGCTTTTGGGCGAGAACTGCAAGCTCGGAGCCGGGGCAGCCTGCTTCGGCACCTTCGTTGTTGCCGGAGCCGCATCTGTCTGTTTCGACATCTTGCTGTCGGCCATCCTCGCTTTCTCTCCTGGGAGCCGAAAAACCTGCCGTCCAATTAAACCTGCCGTCCAATTCATGACTCTGCGGTGGAGACCTCATGAAGGACCCAAGCCATGTTACGGGCGCGTGTAGCCCTTCCATCCTTCTCTCTCCCTGTCTTTGGAACACGCAAGTGACGTTGCCTTGGCTAGCGTGCGCAGTCGAAAACTGTTTTACACATAGCGTACGTGCTGGGCCCGGTGCCCTGCCGTCAACAAAAATCGAGCCCCGAGGAAGGGAAAGCTGGAAAATCGTATTCCGTTCAAGAAACCTCCAATGCTTCTCTCAGCACTGTAGCGCTTCTGGCCGTAACTCTAAAAACAGGCATTCCAAGTTGGAGACGGAGCAGGCGTGCCGTGCCAAGGGTCCCGCAAGATCTCTTAATCAGGCAGAAACCTTGCCGCGGCGTGTTCGACCTCAAATGGGAACCCTCATGGGTAGTGTCCAGTGTCCCTTTAGCTACTCTTTGACAACTCCTTCGACGGGGTGGGGAGCAACCCCAATCTCTGACCGAAGGTCCTCAAAGAAAGCCACAGTTTTCGACCCCAAAAAAAAGGGAAGCCCAGGTCCGGCCGCAACGACCAAGCCCTGCAACCCCTGGCTTAGGAAATCTGGGAGAGCTGACAAGTCAGAAGAGCATTGCTGTCGTACGAGTGTGTTCCTTTCCTGTCCCTTGCCAACCTGACTAGGGGAGCTTCAAAAAACTCTTGCTTCGACCGGGGAACTGGTGGAACTTGAAGTTCTCAAGCCATGCGGCAGCACACAAAAAAGCACAATGAGGACAAAGAGGCCGCCGATGCTGGAGCGGCGAGCCTTGGCCCGTTGATCCGCCGGTTCGTTGGTTCGTCGAGGTTTCTTGCGCACCCCCCCCATCTGACAATCTGACTGTTGGCTTGAACTGCGCTTTTGCAAATGGTGGGGTTCCCCCTGTTTTAGCACTCGCTGCCAAGTCCACTGTGTTGACTTCACATTGAGGGAAAAACATGAGGCTGCCTTGCGGGAAGAGAATCCCTTCTGAACAAGGCTCTATGGTTGCCAACAAGGCCGTGCCTCGCGTCTGCTATGCCAAGAAGCCGTGCTGCGGAAGCAACTCGGGCCGTGCAATTCCTGGTTGAGCCCCAAAACTCTGCAGCGAGGCCGCAGTCGACATCCCAACATCGCGACTGCTTCGGCGCCAGCACGGCCATCTGAGTCGCAATGCAGACCAGGTCGGAACATGCAAATCAAACTCAACAGGGCAGCTGCGCCCGTTGCTTGGGGTTGGTTCCCAAACTGGCCCGTCCTAGGCCCGCCCACGACAGGGTCGGCGGCACGGGGCGGCAGCCCTTAAAATCCGGCCACCGGACGTGATCGGGCCGCAGGCCACAGCCCGTTAGGGCTTACCTTCAGGTATAAGGCCGCGCGCCCCATGCCGCCGACCATGAGCGGACCATGTACATACGTTTTGCGCTGGGCCTTCCTTATAAGGGGCGAAGGATTCGCGGATTGGTTTAGGCGATTTTTGTAGCATCTCCCCGCAGCGCCAAAAAACGAGCATTTTTAGGGGGTGCCTAATACTGGACAACACCCCCAGCATTGCCAGCATCATCCCGGATGATGCGGATGATGCTATGCATGCTGGCGATGCGAAACAAGGGGCTTAGGGGAAATGCAAGGGAACAGGAGTGACTGGAAGTGAACGAAATGCAAGTCAAAGGAATTGCACGAAAATGAAGAGGCACTGGAGAGAAACCGAGCTGCAGGAAAATGCAAGGGACAGCGGGAACGAAAAGGGAAAGGAATGCGAATGAAGGAGTCTTCAAGGAAATGAAGGGAGCTGAAACGGCAGTGAAGTGGAAGGAAGTGAAGGGACATGCCAGGAAACTGTCATGGAAGACATGCAAAGGAAGTAAAGTTCGAGTCACCCCGAGAACTAGCAGAACTTAGAGGGAAAGGAGATGCAAGAACGGGAAGGGGTGCCCGGTGGCCGGCTGTGTCGCGTCAGCGTGTAAATCGGGCCGCAGGCCAAGCCCCGTTAGGGCTTACCTTCAGGTATAAGGCCGCGCGCCCCATGCCGCCGACCATGAGCAGAACATGTACATACGTTTTTGGCTGGGCCTTCCTTATGAGGGGCGAAGGATTCGCGGATTGGTTTAGGCGATTTTTGTAGCATCTCCCCGCAGCGCCTAAAAACGAGCATTTTTAGGGGGTGCCTAATACTGGACAACACGCCCAGCATTGCCAGCATCATCCTGGATGATGCGGATGATGTTATGCATGCTGGCGATGCGGGTGATGCTGGGGATGTTGTCCCCTAAGTCGGGCCAATTTTGCTGAAAACGTGCAACCTGAAAATCTTAAAATCTAAAGTGGATGGAAATGGATGGAAAATGGCCTGGATTGAAGTCTTAAAATCCTAAAGTCTTAGATTCTTAAAATCTTAAATTAAAATCTAACCATCAATCTTAGAATCTCAAGATCTTAAAATCTTAGAACTTAGAATCTTAAAATCTAGAAATATAAAAACTTCCTAAAGTCTTCGAATCTTGAAATCTTAAAAACCTTATGTCTTAGAATCTTGAGATCTTAAACTCTTAAAATGTGAAATCTTAGAACCTTAATTCTTAAACCATTGAAACCTTAAATTCCGAAAGTCTTCAAATCTGAGACCCTTAGAATCTCAAAGTTTTTAGAATTTTGAAATCTTAACATCTACTCATCGGACTTACAGGAAAGGGAAGTGACAGAAACCCTCATGTCTTTGAATCTTCAGATGTTAAAATCTTAAAATATGAAATTCCTAAGTTCTCAAAATCTTAAAAAAAAACTTAAAAGCTTCAAAAACTTAAATTCTTTAAATCTCGAACTATTGCAGTCTGAAAATCTTAAATTTTCTAAACAAGTAAAATATAATAAAATTCCTTCAATACGGGCTATATTATTCTAAATTCCTTAAAGTCTTTAATCTTCAAATTTTGAAGTCTTGACATCTTAAGATCTTAAAATCTTAAATTCCGAAAGTCGCCAAATCTGAAAATCTCATAAAAAATCAAATCTTAAAGCCTTCGAAATCTGATAATGGATGGTAAATGGCTGGGCAATGGCCTGGCTGTTATAACTTTCAAAAGCCTTAAATCTTCGAATCTTAAAACCTTAATTCTTCAACCATTGAATCCTTCAATTCCGAAAGTCTTCAAATCTGAGACCCTTAGAATCTCAAAGTTTTTAGAATTTGGAAATCTTAACATCTACTCATCGGACTTACAGGAAAGGGAAGTGACAGAAACCCTCATGTCTTTGAATCTTCAGATGTTAAAATCTTAAAATATGAAACTCCTAAATTCTCAAAATCTTAAAATCTCAGAATCTTAAAAGCTTCAAAAACTTAAATTCTTTAAATGTCGAACTATTGCAATCTGAAAATCTTAAATTCATAAACAAGTAAAATATAATAAAATTCCTTCAATCCGGGTAATATTCTAAATTCCTTAACCTCTTAATCTTCAAATTTTGAAGTCTTGACATCTTAAGATCTTAACATCTTAAATTCCGAAAGTCGCAAAATCTGAAAATCTCACAAAAAATACAATCTTAAAGCCTTGGATGGAAAATGGCTGGGCAATGGCCTGGCTGTTATAACCTTCAAAAGCCTTAAATCTTTGAATCTTAAAACCTTAATTCTTCAACCATTGAAACCTTAAATTCCGAAAGTCTTCAAATCTGAGACCCTTAGAATCTCAAAGTTTTTAGAATTTTAAGATCTTAACATCTACTCATCGGACTTACAGGAAAGGGAAGTGACAGAACGGGCAGGGCAAGGTGCCCGGTGGCCGGCTGTGTCGCGTCAGCGTGTAAATCCGGCCACCGGACGTGATCGGGCCGCAGGCCAAAGCCCGTTAGGGCTTACCTTCAGGTATAAGGCCGCGCGCCCCATGCCGCCGACCATGCGCGGACCATGACCAGAACATGCGCATACGTTTTATGCTGGGCCCTCCCTTATAAGGGGCGAAGGATTTGCGGATTGGTTTAGGCGATTTTTGTAGCATCTCCCCGCAGCATCCAAAAACGAGTCCAAAAACGAGTATTTTTGGGGGGTGCATAATACTGGACAACACCCCCAGCATTGCCAGCATCATCCCGGATGATGCGGATGATGCTATGCATGCTGGCGATGCGAAACAAGGGGCTGAAAGGAAACAGGAGTGACTGGAAGTGAACGAAATGCAAGTCAAAGGCATTGCACGAAAATGAAGAGGGCGCTGGAGAGAAACCAAGCTGCAGGAAAATGCAAGGACGAAAAGGGAAAGGAATGCGAATGAAGGAGTCTTCAAGGAAATGAAGGGAGCTGAAGCGGCAGTGAAGTGGAAGGAAGTGAAGGGACATGCCAGGAAACTTAGAGGGAAAGGAGATGAAAGAACGGGAAGGGGTGCCCGGTGGCCGGCTGTGTCGCGTCAGCGTGTAAATCCGGCCACCGGACGTGATCGGGCCGCAGGCCAAAGCCCGTTAGGGCTTACCTTCAGGTATAAGGCCGCGCGCCCCATGCCGCCGACCATGCGCAGAACATGTGCATACGTTTTGTGCTGGGCCCGCCCTTATAAGGGGCGAAGGATTCGCGGATTGGTTTAGGTGATTTTTATAGCATCTCCCCGCAGCGCCCAAAAACGAGTATTTTTAGGGGGTGCCTAATACTGGACAACACCCCCAGCATTGCCAGCATCATCCCGGATGATGCAGATGATGTTATGCATGCTGGCGATGCGGGTGATGCTGGGGATGTTGTCCCCTAAGTCGGGCCAATTTTGCCGAAACCGTGCAACCTGAAAATCTTAAAATCTTAAAGTGGATGGAAAATGGCCTGGATTGAAATCTCAAAATCCTAAAGTCTTAGATTCTTAAAATCTAACAATCAATCTTAGAATCTCAAGATCTTAAAATCTTAGAACTTAGAATCTTAAAATCTGAAAATATAAAAACATCCTAAAGTCTTCGAATATTGAAATCTTAAAAACCTTATGTCTTAGAATCTTGAGATCTTAAACTCTTAAAATATGAAATTCCTAAAGTCTTACACTCTTAAAATCTCGGAATCTTAAAAAGCTTTAAAACTTAAATTATTTAAACCTCGAACAATTGAAATCTGAAAATCTTAAATTATTAAAATATTACCTTCCTTCAATCCGGGCTATATTTTAAATTCCTTAAACTCTTAATCTTGAATTTTTGAAATCTTGAAACCTTAAGATCTTAAGATTACAACCTTAGAAGTTAGAATCTTACAACCTGAAAATATAAACATCCTAAAGTCGTCGAATCTTGACTTCTTAAAACCCTCATGTCTTTGAATCTTCAGATGTTCAAATCTTAAAATATGAAATTCCTAAATTCTCAAAATCTTAAAATCTCAGAATCTTAAAAGTTTCAAAAACTTAAATTCTTTCAATATCGAACTATTGCAATCTGAAAATCTTAAATTCATAAACAAGTAAAATATAATAAAATTCCTTCAATCCGGGCTATATTTTAAATTCATTAAACTCTTAATCTTGAAATTTTGAAGTCTTGACATCTTAAGATCTTAAAATCTTAAATTACGAAAGTCGCCAAATCTGAAAATCTCACAAAAATGAAATCTTAAAGCCTTCGAAATCTGATACTGGATGGAAAATGGCTGGGCAATGGCCTGGCTGTTATAACCTTCAAAAACCTTAAATCTTTGAATCTTAAAACCTTAATTCTTAAACCATTGAAACCTTAAATTCCGAAAGTCTTCAAATCTGAGACCCTTAGAATGTCAAAGTTTTTAGAATCTTAAAATCTTAACATCTACTAATCGGACTTACAGGAAAGGGAAGTGACAGAACGGGCAGGGCAAGGTGCCCGGTGGCCGGCTGTGTCGCGTCAGCGTGTAAATCCGGCCACCGGACGTGATCGGGCCGCAGGCCAAAGCCCGTTAGGGCTTACCTTCAGGTATAAGGCCGCGCGCCCCATGCCGCCGACCATGAGCGGACCATGCGGGTACGTTTTGGGCTGGGCCTTCCTTATAAGGGGCGAAGGATTCGTGGATTGGTTTAGGCGATTTTTGTAGCATCTCCCCGCAGCGCCCAAAAACGAGCATTTTTAGGGGGTGCCTAATACTGGACAACACCCCCAGAATTGCCAGCATCATCCCGGATGATGCGGATGATGTTATGCATGCTGGCGATGCGGGGGATGCTGGGGATGTTGTCCCCTAAGTCGGGCCAATTTTGCCGAAAACGTGCAACCTGAAAATCTTAAAATCTAAAGTGGATGGAAATGGATGGAAAATGGCCTGGATTGAAATCTCAAAATCCTAAAGTCTTAGATTCTTAAAATCTTAAATTAAAATCTAACAATCAATCTTAGAATCTCAAGATCTTAAAATCTTAGAACTTAGAATCTTAAAATCTAAAAATATAAAAACTTCCTAAAGTCTTCGAATCTTGAAATCTTAAAAACCTTATGTCTTAGAATCTTGAGATCTTAAACTCTTAAAATATGAAATCTTAGAACCTTAATTCTTAAACCATTGAAACCTTAAATTCCGAAAGTCTTCAAATCTGAGACCCTTAGAATCTCAAAGTTTTTAGAATTTTAAAATCTTAACATCTACTCATCGGACTTACAGGAAAGGGAAGTGACAGAAACCCTCATGTCTTTGAATCTTCAGATGTTAAAATCTTAAAATATGAAATTCCTAAATTCTCAAAATCTTAAAAGCTTCAAAAACTTAAATTCTTTAAATCTCGAACTATTGCAGTCTGAAAATCTTAAATTCATAAACAAGTCAAATATAATAAAATTCCTTCAATACGGGCTATATTATTCTAAATTCCTTAAACTCTTAATCTTCAAATTTTGAAGTCTTGACATCTTAAGATCTTAAAATCTTAAATTCCGAAAGTCGCCAAATCTGAAAATCTCACAAAAAATAAAATCTTAAAGCCTTCGAAATCTGATAATGGATGGTAAATGGCTGGGCACTGGCCTGGCTGTTATAACCTTCAAAAGCCTTAAATAATCGAATCTTAAAACCTTAATTCTTCAACCATTGAAACCTTAAATTCGAAAGTCTTCAAATCTGAGACCCTTAGAATCTCAAAGTTTTTAGAATTTTAAAATCTTAACATCTACTCATCGGATTTACAGGAAAGGGAAGTGACAGAAACCCTCATGTCTTTGAATCTTCAGATGTTAAAATCTTAAAATATGAAACTCCTAAATTATCAAAACCTTAAAATCTCAGAATCTTAAAAGCTTCAAAAACTTAAATTCTTTAAATCTCGAACTATTGCAATCTGAAAATCTTAAATTCATAAACAAGTAAAATATAATAGTATTCCTTCAATCCGGGCAATATTCTAAATTCCTTAACCTCTTAATCTTCAAATTTTGAAGTCTTGACATCTTAAGATCTTAAAATCTTAAATTCCGAAAGTCGCCAAATCTGAAAATCTCACAAAAATACAATCTTAAAGCCTTGGATGGAAAATGGCTGGGCAATGGCCTGGCTGTTATAACCTTCAAAAGCCTTAAATCTTTGAATCTTAAAACCTTAATTCTTAAACCATTGAAACCTTAAATTCCGAAAGTCTTCAAATCTGAGACCCTTAGAATCTCAAAGTTTATAGAATTTTAAGATCTTAACATCTACTCATCGGACTTACAGGAAAGGGAAGTGACAGAACGGGCAGGGCAAGGTGCCCGGTGGCCGGCTGTGTCGCGTCAGCGTGTAAATAAATAACATAAACAATAACACCCCTCCACCAAAAAAAGAACACGCAAAAAAAAAGAAACAAGAAAGAAAGAAAGAAAGAAAGAAAGAAAGAAAGAAAGAAAGAAAGAAAACCACGAAACAGTCAGACTAAACAGAGTCAGGGCCTTGGTGGGCAACGGGACCCCGTTGCGTGACTGTTTGGCCGAGTCTTGCCTACCCGGAGCCAAGCTCTGGAGCCCCGATATGTCCCTAGAGTCTCCATGACCCTTTAAAAACGAGGTCATTAACCCTAAATAATGGGGTCATGGACCTATTTTTAAAGGGTGTATAGGGCAAAATGATCCAAGTCTCAGGATCCAAGTTGAGGCCCTACAAATGCCTCAGCAATCAGCCTGGAGCCATTTTTAGACGCCAAGAGTCATATTGAAGGAGCACTACTCATTAGGAAATCCCTCTCAGCAAGTCTTTGTGGGGTCAACCCGAACAAAATCCCAAGCAACTAAGCAGGGTACCCACAACCGCTTCAACCTGCACAACCGCTCGGAATTGGCCCACTCAACACCAACGTTGATGTTGTCCATTGCTTTTGTCTTTACGTGGGCTACGGTCACTGTTCCCTTCATTGAAAACTTTACATATTTGTGTCTGTGATTCTTCAGACTTGCTCCCCAAAACAACATGCAACCCCCAAAGGTGTTCCGGTTCTTCTATGATTGTCTCCTAGTAACCCCAAAGAGACCAATTGAGTCACTGAAATCGTGCGCCTACGAAGCCCTGGGATGCTGACTCTCCTGTAAATACCAACAAAACATGGTTTCAGCCATGGTTTCAAACTGGCGCGAAATGGATTTCGCCACCATCCACAGCACCCCAAGCGGTTTATAGACCACACGAGAGGGACACCCGAACCTCGGCCCCCTGCCATGGCCGCCAGCAGACGGAAGACTGCCTTCGGGGTGCGGGAGCCTCAATCGGAAAGCGCTCCGCTAGGAAACACAAGGTCTGTGTGTGTGTGTGGCCCAGAGGGGTGTAAAAAGGGTCCAAGTGCCTCCTTAGAAGGTACTTGGACCCTCTGGGTGTGCAACTCGTAGATTCCCGTACCCATTAGCAGAGGCTACCCACAACACACCTTTCATCCAGGAGATCAGCGACCGGAGCTTTCAGAGGCACCGGTCATCATATGCTCAGCTCCAGGGTAGGCAATCTGCGATACCAAGGTGGGCGACTACTGTGTCGTCTTGAAGGAACTTGTCCCTCTCTCACACAAACTGGCTCCTAAAATCCAAGCTGTCCACCTACAACCCTAGTTGTCCACTGACAACCCCCCAAGTTGTCCACCATCCTCAGCTCCGCGCGGTTGATGGTGGCATTGAAGAGCCAAAGCCCTATGCCCTCGCCGCTCTTGCAGCTCATAGCCTCATGGCAAACACACCATGGCATGTGTGTCTTCCATTTGCTTAAGTCCCCTGAAGTCCCCTGGGAAAAAATATACATTTCCACTAGCGATAGATTCCCTTTAAACCACCAGGTGAACATAAAGAATATTCATTTCAGCAAAGGGTACGTTTGCTATCCCAAGGCTAAGAATGGTTTGCAGAAAAAAAAAAAAAACATCTGGTCCCCCTAGCTTGACGCATACCCATTAGAGCCTGGGTGCCAGAGGCTTCAGCTTCCATAGTTGAAGGGAGGATACCATGTCCAAGCCTCACCCTCGTTTCGAGACAAGCCTGGCCGGGAGGGTTGAAATTTTGATCTGTTCAAAATGAGGATCCAAACAAGGTGCTGGGGATGGAAATAGGTTTGCCCGGGTTTCCCCATAACTAGTCCCTTGTTCACCCAAGTGTCCCGCAAAACCCAGGGACAAGTCCCAATTTTCCCGTGTCCACTTAGGAAAAGTTATGCCCAGGGGACCCACGCTTGCTGCCCACTTCCACACTTGTTGCCGAGATCCCTTGTCCTAATCCGTAATATCAAGGGCAAAAGAACTCAACCATCTGAGAATATCTTGGCTGGAATTCGTTAGTGGAAAACAAAGGGACCCCAAAAAAGCAAAACATCAAAAAGGAGAGGAAGATATGTCACGATGGAGGATCGCTTTTTAAGGTCCCGCGAATTTTCGCCTCGTCCAGGATCTCCTGCAGCACCGTTTCAGCCGCAGCTTTGTCCGAGTCGGCCCACAGCGCAGCTGCTCCTGCCCATTGCCACCAAAAGAGCAACCATTCTTGGGTCAATGTTCGATCCTTCTTAAGCACGACTTCCATTTGCTTCAGTCCCCTGGAGAAAAAAAAAAACATCATAAAAACAGAAAGAAAACAACACGAGTGATAGATTCCCTTTAAAGCCAACAGGCGAAAATGAACAACACATGTTCTTAAGCAAATGGAAGAACCTGAGGACCCCTTTGAAAGCTCCAGCCCGCGCTCCGACGCCTGCCACTTCCAAAGCCGCAGCTCGAAGCGAATCCCGCTCCGGCGACAGGCCTTAGCTCGAGGTCCGATGTGGGTTTGCTTCCAAATTCTTCTTACCCCTTAAAACTCCCTGCGCCCTGGGGAAGTTAATCTTTTACAGACATATAGCCCATTTTACCCAAAAAGTTAGAATAAGGGTACTTTTTTTTTTTTTTTTTTCCTGTAGTCTATTTTAGTATCGGAACCCTCACCACAAAAGGTTCCCTTGTTTCCCTTCTTGCGAAATTCTTGGTTGACGTTGGAAGGGGAGCAAAAACTTAAATTTTAGCAGTTAAGTGGGGGATTTCAACCACTCGACCACAAGCAAACATGTAACATGTTTCCCAACGACAACCATGAATTGGGGGACTGCCATTTTTTCAGGCAGGAGCCCCCTTTGAACAGGCTGTGGGTCAAAATTAAACCACCAGGCGACTGCATTTACCAGGGTTCCATGTTGAGTATCTATATTTGACCCACAGCCAAAAGAAGAACTAAAACGGTGCCATGCAAACGGTGGAGCCCAAATGTGTATAGCTCCCTGGGAGCTTCTGTGATGGCTATAAAAATTCCCTATACTCCGAGTAAACGGTTTTTTTTTGACTACGTAGCGTCCACCCGAGATATAAGATGGATGCTCGCAGTATTGCAAGCAACCACATCCAACCCACAAAGCTCTTGTAATTTGTAGGACTTGCAACTAGGTCCTCTAGCAGAGAGATTAGAATAAGGGAACCCTGTTTTTCTGTAGTCGATTTTAGTATCCGAGCCCTGCCAACCAATAAAAGGGACAAAAGGGCACTACTGAGGGACCTAGACGAGGTTCCCTCGTTTCCCCTCTTGCAAAATTCGTGGTTGACGTTGGAAGGGGAGCAAACATTTGAACAATTCAGCAGTTAAGTGGTTGGATTTCAACCACTAAACCACAAGGAGCAAAATTGTACAAAAAATGTTTCCCAACCACAACCATGCCTATCCAACGGACCCCTTGATAAACCCTTTGGGTTCGCTGGGGGTTCACGTCCAACCCCTTGAGGCGCTTCCCTATAAATTAATGGCCATGCGTGAGGCCGATGAAGCTGCTTCATGTCTTGGCAGCTTCTGTGTTTCTGGTCAGAGGCGACGGCGTAGGCTCCAGAGGTCGCGCAACCTCAGGGCGTGGGAAAGCTCCCGTCTGGGCCAGGCTCAGCTCGTGTGACTTTTTCTGGGGCTGGTGAGGCAAACAGGATTCTCTGAAACACCCAAACAAAAAACCAGCGAGGTGGGTGAAATCGACACCTGCCAACAAGTCCTTTCCGACTTGGCGAACCCAGAAAAGTGAGTCTGGGAAGTCTGCTGAAACAGGTTTTTTTCTGCAAGAAAGAAGCGAGGCGGGGCAAACAGGAGATGTTTCTGGTTCACAAGGAAGAATGCGGGGAACCGAAAAGGGGAAAATCGGCCAGGCTGGCTGGTTAGGTCTGGCAAGGTTGAGTGCCGCTGACAATAGCGAGACAGCGAACATCATGCTGGACACGCCATGCCAAACTGCCTGCCAGAATTTGGCTGTCGCCCTCCGCGACCCTTGGGCCGCTGCATGGACAGCGCGCCGCGCCGCTCTCGTACATCTGCCGTTGAAGCTCCAGTCGCCAGAGAAACCCAGATGAGTGACAATCAAAACCCGGCATTAAAATGGTCCTACCCAGAACTATGCAAAGAACTGAAAAGGCGGCCGCACCAATTTCTGGCCAGGATCGTCCCTAACTACCCTCAACTTACCCTTGCATGGCCATAAGTGGATCATTTCGTTGCTTTAGCCATCCCTCTGACTTATCCTCATAAAGGGAATTGCACGGGAATTGCGGCGTCTACTTTCACTCTGATGTAAGACATACCCCACATGCGTTTGTGTGTGTCCTGTTGATTTGCCTTTGAAACTTTCTTTAAAGGGGTTCCCTGTTGAAATGGTCGGTTGGTCCCCCCATTAAATTTCACGGCTGTGCAGAGTCCGAGGATTGCTGTTATTTCTCTCTTCCAAGGGTCGATGACTCGCTGAAGCCTCCAGAGACCGCAGCGGCATAGCAAACGGCATCTGGGCGGACCTGGCAGAGAGCGAGCGAGAAAAAGAAAAAGAAGGAAAGGGCTGTCTCATTTTTTTTAAATAGGAAACCTCTGAAATACTGTGTCCTTTTGGGTGCCCATTGAAGCCAACCAAAAGCGGGGGAGGGGGGGGGGGGAGGGGGTTCTCCGAAAAGGCGCACGCAAACCGAGAGAAAGAGACAAGGAGAGAAAGAGACAAGGAGAGAAAGAGAATGGAGGTATGGTAGCTTCTCAATCTAGCAAGACATCTGGAAATCCTCAAGGGATGTTCACATCTTAGGATCCAGAGAATTGTGGGCTGGGCAGGTTTGAGGCATTTTGGGCAACTGGAATGCAGGTGTGGAAGTGTTGAACTTGTTTGGTAAGCGCGCGCATGCACCCCGCGCTGACCCCACTCAGCGCAACCATCTGCGGCTTGCGGGGCAGGTTGGAAAAACTGTGCTGTAACACAAATGATTTGGGTCACAATCAAAACCCGGTATTAAAGGTGTCTGCCGAACTCTTTATGTAAAGAATAAACAGGCCGGCGATCTGCTCCTATTTGTGGCCAGGGGGGCCGTCCCCTGCTTGCCTTCATCTACCCGGTTTTCGGTCTTGGCCGTCGCTCATTAAGCGCACGATCCCTGGGCGGCGCCCGAGAGCCGACGTCTGCGACGACGAAACCAGCCACCGGAGACAGCCCCGCCCAGCCAAGCTCACCAAAAACCAGACGCCAGCGGCTACGCCAAAAGCAAGGGATCGGAAAAAATGATGGGTTCCCTTTGGTTGTGTTTGAAATGCCAGAAGGTCCCAAACATGTTGGAAACACCCAACAACAAGTAACCCCCCAGCTGAGGTCTGTTCGAGGCCACCGATGAAACATGGACGGTGAATACCAACCTGTGCGTTCGCTTTGGATTGGGACCCCTTTGTGGGGTGGCTGCAAGAGCCTGGGTACCGAGGAAAGCCCAAGGAAACCGTTGACTCGTCTACGCGCTGTTCGTGCTTTGGATCAATGCAGAAAACAAGCATCGACTCCAGCTTTGCTTCAGGGAGTGCAGGGTTCCAACGAATTACCCCCTTCCCCGGCAAATTCACAGAAAGGTCCTCCAAAAGGAGATGCAGTTAGGAGCCCGTACTCAACCCACTTAGTAAACAGGCCAGAACCAGGGCTGTAACTTATAACCTGCTGAGTAAGCTGAACATCCAAGTACGGGGTGTGGCGATACCCCTAGGATGCCGCTCAACTTGGTCAGCCCCCGGGTTAGGGTTCAAATATGATCTGTCTAGAAATGAATTTAGTCAAGGGCGAAGTTTAAGATGGTGCCAAACGTTGGCCCCCGCTTGGATGTTCATCCTGCGCGGGAAGTAAGTTGTGGTTGTGATTCTGGCTATATCAATAGGTCAACTAAGCCTCATGCTACCTAAGTAATAATCACAACCTGCTACAAACATGTTCAACCCAACGCCACGCAACAAATCAAAAGGGCGGCCGCGCCTATGGTTTATGGTTGGGACCGTCCCATACTGACCTGAACCTGGCCAGACTTAAGACCACTACAAACAGTTTACTTTAAAGGGAAAATGCTGGAAAGCCAAACAAGTGAAAAGTCGAAACGGTAAAGTCTGGCAATGAACCTACCCAGGTTTCGACCTCCGGTGTTCCGATCTCATCTGTGCCTGGCGACGCTGCATGTCCCCCAGCAGCCCGCACGCCACGTCCCAACGGCTGCCTCTGGAAAGAAGTGGTGGGGGGGGGGGGCGGGCAGAATTGAATCCATGGGGGGTCCCTATGGAAAAGGGGATCGATTGTGTCAAAGGTATCACTGTACCCGCCCCTCGTTCCAGGGGTAACCTGGGCATATATGGGCCAGTCGCGGTGCGCTTTCCACACCAGCAAGGAAGCAGCAACCAACCAATCAGCCAAAGAAACGATCTTTTTTTTGGGCAAAGCATAAAACTAACAAAATTGACATCTGGAATCCCACCCCAAGGGCCCTTATGGGTAAGATTGAACAGGGAAACCACAAGAAGCTTTGGAGTTGTCCAATGTTGGGCACGAAGTTGCCTTTGGCGGGAAAAGAAGCTTCAGAGTTCTTGAAACAAACGGTACCCTGGTCTCCTAAGGAAAGCCAAAAGCAGCCAAAGCTTGAAGAATTGTGAGTTGAATGTATGCTCTTTGAGGGTAGCCAAAAGGAAAGCCAAAAGGAAAGGAACAGGGACGCCAAAAGGGAAACCAAAAGGGATCAAAAGGGTACCCTTGTTCCCTTGCGTTCAAAGGGTTCGCATCAAAAGGAAACCGCCCGTTCGAGGTTCGCCTCCCTGTTTCGACAAGCTGTACCCATTTATCGATGTAGCAAACTGTTGGCTAAAAATCGGCGCGGCTCTCAGAATGTGAAGCCACATGTGCTCTGCTTCTGATCCCCCCTTCATGTGCTCTGCTTTTGATCTCCCGTTCATAGGCTCTGCTGTCCAAGGAATTCGCCATCTCAGCTTCCGAACTCCAATGGATTGGTCTTCAAACGGGGAACCCCCAAAATGCCTTCCCTTCGGTGTCCCTAAAAACAATCCCCAGAGGGGTACCTTCTCCCTTTCCCTCCAAAACCGCCGACGCCAAAGACCACACGGGTCAGAGGCCGACCCACAGAACTAAGCCGAAACTGGCCGGCGCCAATTTGGGAATGTTCTAGTCCAGGTCCCAGTAGAGAGGTTAGAATCAGGATTCCGTTTCTCTTCTTCTGTAGTCTAGTCGGGGAACCCTCCCTTAAGGGTAAAAGAGCACTGGGGGACCTAGTTGGGGACGATTTGGACCCTGGGCAAGGGGTTCCAAATCGTAAAAGTCATAGCCATTGGGAAAGACCTGGTCCCCAATCCCAAGCTTAAGCCACCCAAGCTTTAATGGTGGCTCAGCAGATCCGACACGGACTTAGAACACTGCGAGAGCATTGGATATGCACGGAGGTATTCCTGGTGTTGTACCGCAGTTTACCAAACCATACCCTAGAAGCGTTTGGAGGCATACCGCTACACTTTTGGGGGGACATGACGACAGTCCTTGAGGATTGCATCAAAATGAAACTGATGTTCATAAGCGCCAATAATTTGGGCTCAAATCATGACTGGGCGTTCCTAGTATATACATAGCCTGCTCCTCAGCAGAGTCCTGTTTGGTGTGTCGCAGGTTAGGACTTTCTTGAAGGGGCTCCAACCCAACTAGTCCAAAGCCACTTCCCGAGTTCCGGCCCCGTTTGAACGCTCCAACGAGATGCCCTCGCGCCTTTGGAGCATGCAGAAATGGCAGAGGTAAACCTGGCCGCAGGTTTGCAGCTGAATTCAGTTAAAAAGGACAGGTCCTCCAGTAGAGAGGTTAGAAAAAGGGTACCCGTTTTTCTGTAGTATATTTTAGTAGGGGAACCCCCCCAACCCAAGAAGGACTACTGGGGGACCTAGTTAAGGAAAAGAACTCAAGTTGCACTTCTCCGGCCAAGCAGCAATTCTGGAGACGGAGTCCCGGAAGACCTGCGACTCGATTCGCCCAAACTGTTTGGGTCCACTTTTTTTTTCGGCTCACAGCCGCCATTTCAAAGGCTCCAGTCAATCTTGCCAGCATCTTTTGTCTGTACACCCTAAAACATCATCCTTCCAGGAAGACCGGAAGACCTGGGCAAAATCCTGTGAAGCACGATCTAGGCTTTATCCGAGGAATCTAGGTTCATATCAGGGCTTTCGTAGAGCAGGGGCCCACCCATGCTGTGCATCAACAGGGCGAACCCGTGAAAACGGCCTGCGAGCTTCGTTTGGCCGTGGGTCAACACCAATGGGTGGCCGTGGGTCAATGGGATCCCATTTTGGTTGGATTGGGTGAATTCACCGCCCATTTTAGGCTTCCGATTTTAGTGGTTGGATGGGGATCGGGGACTGGGGGCTCACCGGGCGTTTGACCTCCATAGCCGCCATTTCTTGGTTTGAGACGTCGATTGAGGTAGCTGCACTTTCATCGACCCGAGGGCCAGGCAAAAGCTGTGACAACACCTCCAGGGCCTCGGTGTCAAACCGGGCGCCGAGAAACAAGCTCTTTGACTCTGCCGCCCGCTCATCCCCACGGCAGAACGGTACCTTCCATTTCCCTTCTTAACCCAGGGATCCGGCTCTCTCTAGACAACCTCTGGAATCCCAGGGAAAACGGCGGGTTGTCGAAAAGAACAATGGTTGAAAAGAATGGGGAATCAACCCCTCGACCCACGGCACGGTTTTGAAGTTTGAAGTGTATCAAGTGGTAGGGGGGCAAAGTCCGTCGCTCAGCTGTCTTTTTGCTGAAACAACTACGGAAACCAACAAAAAGTCGACCCACGCCTGCTGCAAAGCAGCATGGAAAATCGCAAGATCCAAGAAGTCGTCCCAATGTCGTCTCTTCAGATCCCACGCAATCGCAAGCTGGCAGCGAAGCTTTCTCTTTGCCAAGGTGCCTCCGGCCAGCGGGCCTGGACAGGTGACCCATGCAAGCAGGGAGCCAAATGGCTGTGGCTCAAAAAACCGGAATTCCAAATGGAACCCTGGTAAGTGGAAACATGGACCAAAAACTGCGTAACCCCTCCTGCTATTTTTTTTTGTTGAGCCACGCCCAAATGACAGCCAAACGATTCACACTCTCCCTCAAACAGGCACAGGGGCTTGTTGTTTCCCTCAGAAGCCCGGGGTTTGTGTCTATATTGGGGGCTTGCGGGACAAAAATCAAACATGGGCATCTGTCAAAACTGGGGACCACCCATCTGCGCGACTTGTTTTGGAGGCCCCTTACCAACCAATCACCAATTACACCACATTAGGGTTCACAAATCATATGTTGTGGTGGTGTCGTTTGTGAGAGTCGGCACCGGTTTGGGTTGATCAAAGGGAATCCGAAAGGCTTCCCAAACCAGAATGCCCCCCCCCAATTCTATAAATGTGTATCAAACAAAACGAAACGGGACCCTAGTTTGATCAGGCCAACGGGTGTCCAGAGTCTCGAATTATATTATATTACAGGGTACGCCTCCCAAATCATAGGGTGCACCCGTCCTGTCGCTCGCAAGCTTGGAGAGCCAGGGCAAAGCTGCCTGGCAGTCTGGCAGTGCAATGGGCGCCCATTGAAACTATCCCCTACTCCAAATACCCACTGTTTCTAGGGCATTTATTGAAAAACCTGGCTTTTCATGGTAGATACCTCCTTTTTTGGCAGAGGGTCGACATGATACCTTTAAAAAGTGGGTATTTGGAGTAGGGGGTAAGACCACTGGCAAAGTCGTAGCTTCTCTTGCCACGAAATCGCACGGTCAGGGACCCTCCGATGAATCCCCCTAAGGGGAAGAGGGGCGGGGTGTTCCCCAATTCCATTCAGAAAATGGGGATGCGGACCTGAACCGCCCTGAGATTGTAGCATTCACAAAGACCCAATTGGCGTGACATTTCCCCTGGGATTCATATCCCCATGAAATTCAATCCCCATGAGCTCCACCAAAACGCCCCCCAACCGGAATTCGAAGCTATGGCTTCGGCACGCCACATCAAACCGAGCACCGGTGCCTGCATTTGGCTCCAGAGCTCTGCGACGCATCCTTGGCAAGGCAGGTTCATCATCCCGGACCAACGGCCATAGGGACAAAGGGCACTCGTGTTTGGTTTGACTTTCAAAATGAACACCCCGTCCAAAAAGGGGAAAAAAAGTTCCACAAGAGAGGCTGGCATCACCAATCCCATGAACAACCGCCTCGTCCTCACTCGAAAACGGCAAACCTGGTGGGTGTCACGACTCTTCCCGAGGGCACCCTTGAACCTTCGTACAAAGGGACATTGAAAACCTGGTGGGTGCGTCTTTTTCCGGTCCCCTTGGGGCTTCGGGTAAAGGGACACACTACGCGAGGCCGAGTTTGGTGTTCCTCGCTTTGGCGGATGGTGAGCTCAGTTGTTCAGTGACCCTGGAAAATAAAAACGGGAACCCAAAAATGGGGAAGACCATCTTTAGTGGGGCAGCCACCAAAAAAAATGGCAAAAGGGTGCCACTGAAGAACTGAGTAGCTGCTCTCTTGATTTCCCTTTAGAACCATCCCAAGTTGGCTGGCCCAACTATTTCAAAAGGGCTTTTCTATGCAAATTGGTTCCCTCCCACTCTCCAAAGGGCTTCAATGGTTGGTCTCCCAACAGGTTTCCCCTCCAATAAAGTTCTATTCAAGTATTCGTTTGGGGTGGGGGCAAGGGGGGTTGCTGCACCTCCTTTGGCTTCCTTTAGCTTCCTTTCTCTTCCTTTAGCTTCCTGTGGCTTCCTTACGAACTCATGATCTATGCCAAGCTGCAAGCCCAGAAGCTCCAGGACAACTGGCCATGCGCCTTGCACGCCTCGCTCGGTGCAGCTCTCGCGAGCCTGGGGTACCCTCCAGCGGTATCCCTGCTGCCGGCTGAATGGAACTCCCCTATGAATCAACAGAAGGGGTGCTCCCTGGGAGTGGGTTTGTAGCATTTTTCATGTTCAAATCACATCCCCGCCAACACCTGGTCTCTTATGGGGGCGCCCTTGGTTTTAGTCGGGGGTCATCACTTTTGGAGGGGAGCACCCCCAATATTAGTAAGCAGGGGTTGATGAAGAGGGGGTCAACATTATGCTAAGAAGCTAGCACTTAGGCCCACTTGAAACCAAGGAAAGGTGGCTTACAGGTGCTAAGAAGCTACCAGTTCTGCTCACTTGACACCAAGGAAAAGTCACAAAGCGTCTTCCACTTCAGACTCATCCGGACAATGCTGATCAGGAAGGTTCCCTTTAACTCTTTCATAGTGGGCAATCAATTCATGTCCGGCGGTTCCTCTTGCCGTCCAGGTGTCCGACTCCAGACTTGCACCAAAAATAATTGACCTTCTGCTTGAAATGGAACATGATTCGGAACACCAAGAGGCCTTTGGTCTGATGAAGCCGTGCCTCGCTTTTTGTGGATTGGCCAGACAAGGTCAAAACTAATTTGCCACAAAAATGGTCTTCCCAAAAAGTACAAAGTCCAGGAACTCGGGCATCTTCCCTGTATGAGCAGTTCTTGTAGTAGTTCTTTGCTTGGATTTGCCTTGAATGATTGGCAACGCACGGCACGTGTCGAGGTATGGCGCATGGCAAGTCATTTGATTGTGCTTAGTCATAGTAGCGTCTGAGGGGTCAAAACCAATGGTACCATTTTGGGGTAGGTGAATTCACCACCCATTCTAGTCCATGTTCACTGGGGGTACGATTTGGATTTTGACCCATGGAGTTTTTTGTTGGGTTCGATTATGCTTAGTCATAGTAGCGTCTGACTGCTTGAATGAAACAAGTCTTTGCCACAAAAATGGTCTTCAGAAATATCCTGGACTCGGCGAGTGAGGTACCATCCCTTTTTTTTTTGGGGGGGGGGGCATCTTCCCTGTCTGAATGCATCTCGAATCTGGGCTGTCCTCAGATCCCCCGCTAAAACTCACTCCACCAAACACTAAAAGACGAGGGTCTGAACGGCTGAGGAACCGGATGGGAGCGGAATGGGGCAACGACTCTCTTGGATCCCTCAGCGGCCCGCCCTCAGCTCAGCCCCTCAGCCCCTCAGCCCCAACAGGCCCCTGGCACGCGGCCATGGCCACATGGTAGGCCGCCAGGTCCGGCCTGCCGCAAGGCACCGGGGAAAAACCCGACACCTCCGGAGCCTCTTCTTCCATTTGCTTTTAAGTCCCAGTCCCTGGGAAAAAATGAAAAAAATGGAGATGTCCTTTAAAGCCAACAGGTGAAGATAAGAGTAACTTCCATTTGCGGATACGTCCCCATGGAAAACAATACATAAAACAAAAAATAGATATGTCCACTAGTGATAGATTCCCCTCTGAAAACCAAGAGGTAAACAATAATAATAATCATCATTTCTGCAAATGGAAGTGGGAGCTTAATTCACTCGCTTGCTTTCTGCTCCCCTAAAAGTGTTCAACTTTTAGTGGCTTCAACACGGAAAGCCCAAATGAGTTGGCAAAAAGTTAATTAATGTCCTAACATCCCTTGGCAAAATTCGCGCCAAAGTTTGGGGAGCTTAAGACTTAAGGGAAGCCCAAGCGGTTGAAGCTTACGAGCCGTGAGAGAAGCCGCTGATTGAGCACTTGTCTCGTGTAAGTCCCATGTTGCTCCGCTTCACAAGGGCGTGCTTGACGTTGGAAGGAGAGCAAAACAAAAGTTAAGTGGATTTGGATTTCAACCACTAAACCACAAACAAGTGAAAACATTTAGCAGTTAAGTGGTTGGATTTCAACCACTAAACCACAATTAGCAACAATGGGAAAAAGGATTCTCAACGACAACCATGAACATTGCCCAGTGCTCCTTGGATGTTGAGAAGCCCCGATATTAGCAAATGTAAAAGGTTTCCCAACAACCATGAGGGGATGATTCGAATCAGCTCGAACACATGATTCACCCTTCCAGTGACCCCACGTTTCCCAGGCACGGCTCCCCGCCTCAAGCCATCTGCAGCGGCATCCGCAAAGATTTGCAGCGCCTGCCGGGGGGTTGGCCCTAAGGTGCCAATCAGTTTTCTTCCGATCGCCGTCATATCTTTGGATCTGGGCACATAAATGTGATCTTCCGACTTTGACCCTGTCTGCGCTTTGGGTATGGACAATTTCCGCCCAGGTTTTTCGGGTGCTTTTGCAGATGTCCAAGACTCGAGCACGAAGCCGCGCCACTCCGGAAGGAAGGGAGCTGGACAACACCCGTGCATCTGCCAGGGGAGGTTCTGGAAAACCTCCGCCCACTCCAATGTTTGGCAAAACAGGAAGCCAAGCATTTGTGGTTCTACTCAGGGCTCAAAATTGGGGAGCCGATGTCCAAAACGCTCCGCTTCCTTCTGGTTTCCCCCTTCAAACCCAACCAAAAGCGGTTGCTTCCCCCAAAAGAAAATGCAGGAGCCCTATGTTTCTCCTCTGAAGATCACACCCACAGGAAACTCAGTTTGAAACACCCCAACAAAAAGTGATGATGTGAAGGGGAAATACGTTGAAACGCCCAAAACAAAATAATTTGGTTAAAAAGGGGAAAAACACCCACACAAAGTGGATGTTAAGGGGACATCTGGCAGCGGGTCAAAAACCTGTACCCCTGGTGAACATCCAAAACAGGTGGCAAATGGATGTTCATCCCCAAAACGGAGCCATAGGTTATGCCCCATGTTCATCTACCCCAAAAAGTTAGGGGAAATACTTTGAAACACCCAAAACAAAACTGATGATTAAAAGGGGAAACATCCCCCAAACAAAAAGTGGATGATTGAAAGGGAGAATCTCATGTTGAAACACCCAAAAACATGATGATTGAAAGCATTGAAAGGCCAAACACCCAGAAACACACAACACATCCAGCAAAAAACAACAAACACTTTGAAACACCCAAAAACAAGCTGATGATTGAAAGGGAACATCCAGCAAAACCCCACGCCTCGCGAAACCTTCGCCTCGCGCCCTTCGCTCCGGCGCCTGGCGCCACTGGCCTTCGCGGCCGCAGGCGCTGGCCGCGGCGGTGCGCGCCAGCAGCCCCGCGCGGCGCCTCAAGGATCGGAGCGCCAGGCGCTGCGCGGCTTTCGCCGGGGGCCCGAGGGGAAGGCGGGCGGCAAACCGTTTTTTTTTTTTGTTTTTCTTTTTTTTTCTCTTCCGTTTTTTAACGTGGTGGTTGTCCATGGTTGTCCAAGTCAGACCGAAAAAAATCATGGTGCAGATGTGGTCTCTCTTTCCAAAAACAGAACAGACACCCCGGAAATGGGTATATGTGTATAACACATGTTAAAACCGTGTGGGCGTATGCTCCTTTTTGTTGTTGTTTTAACGTATGCATGGGTATATGGTTTTAAACGCATGGGTATGTCATTAAAACCGTATTGTGTATATGTCCCCGAAGAAAAACAAAAGTGTTGAAGGGACTTTCTGGCAGGGTTCACGTGGTTGGAGGGTAATATTTGGGTATACGTCAAAAAACAGAAGCAACAAAGCTGGTTGTGCAAATGTGGTATATGTCCAAAAGAATTAGAAGCCCCGAAAAATCTGTTTTGCCTTAGTAAGCGGCAGATATGACTTACCCTCCGACCAATTAACATGGAACCTGACGTTCGGGAGATTCTGGAAGACCATGGTGCTTTGAAAGAGAGTTTCTGGCAGGGTCCGCCTGCGGACGAGCCTCAGCCTGCCCCCAATCTTGCCCGTGAACTCCAAAGACCGAAATCCTTTTTGGGCGTTTGGGTGATGTAGCCTGATTCATTGCGGATCACTGCTTCAGCCTCTGGCTCCGATCTAAGCAAACGTGACGATTTGGCTTCCGTGTCGAGTGTCCTTGAGCTCCTAATGAAATTGCAAACGCAATCTCTAATCCGGTTACATCTGCGTCACAATCAAAACTTGCCACTGTGCATGCAGAACCCGCTTTGTTCAATCAGGCGGTTAGGTCGTTTCTCCTAGTATTCCTGGGTTGATCCACCCCGGGTTGATGTCGACCCCGGGTTGATCAACCCCGTCCTTTTGGGGGGTGCTCCCTGCAAAAAAAAACTACTAATCGACCAAAGGGTTTCATCTGGGGTTCCAATTGTTTCTGCCCAACCCCGACTCGAGTCCTTTGGGGGCGCCGCTCTTGCCGCATCTTCGACAGGAGTGACACCGCCTTCGCCCATTGCCCGCCTCGCAGCGGGAGCCGTCGCCCGCCAAAAAAATGCGGTGGTGACGGTGAGCACGGGGGCTCAGGGGGTCCAAGAGGGGAGAAGCCCCGAAAAATTGCCCTCCAACCCACTCACCTAAAGGTCCCTTGAAGAGGAAAACGGTCTGTGAGGCACCTCCATTTGCTTAAGTCCCCTGGAAAAGATAAGAAAGTATTTCCAGTAGTGATAGATTCCCTTTAAAACCAACGGGGGAAAATGAAAAAATATTCTTAACCAAATGGAAGGGCACATTCAGGGAATCCACCGCAGCATGGGCAAGGCCGGCGCATGCCTCGTTCCAGCGCCGTCATCAAGGCCCCAAAGGTCACGTCAGTGGTCTTCATGCCACCTGGCAAACGCTCGCCCCGGCGAGCGAAGGTCGAAACTTGGAGAGTTGAAATTAGGTGGGGGACAGTCCTAACCGGACATTTGCAGAATCTCACCCCAGGGAAAAATGATCCCAGATCCAAAATGTTTGGGGCCCTCGGTTTGTTTCTGAGTTTCGGCACACCCTGAAAAGCCCTGAGCAAGGAAGGTGTTGAACAAAGTACAGCTTGAAAAGGCTCCTGTCCACGTCCCATGCTCGTTTGAAATTGCCTGGATCACTGCAAACATTCGGCAAACTTTCCTAGTCTCACTTGCCCCAATGACCTGAGCATCACTGGCGAACGATTTGGCATATGAATGCGGTAGGTCAGATCCGGTCGATTCCCTTTGGACAACGCCTGGCAAAATATGCCGCAGTGCAGCATAGAGCCCGCACTCGTTTGCATGGAACCTCTAAAAAGGGCCTGCATTCCTGCGGCTCCCCTTTCAACACGCCTCAAAAAGACTGCCACGAATCAACAGGCCATGGGTCAAAAGCCAAATCGTACCAGTGAACATCCGATTCACTCCCCACTAAAATAGGTTCTAAGATGGGTGAATTCACCCAATCCAACCAAAATGGGATCAACCAAAACGGTTTTGCCAACCACAGCCAACAAGAAGCACACCACTCCTGGGCAGTTCCGCGAGCCCCACATGGCTCAAAGGCAAGCCAAGCGTGCTCTTCTGGCCATGAGCGAATAGATGGAAAGCCGCTTCCTGGCCGAGTTGAGTCTGGGCTGCCCTCAGAACCCCCGCTAAAAAAATAACTTTTAGCAGGTTAAATGGAAATCCCCACTAAACACTAGAAAGCTAAAAAGCTAAGGAACCGGATGGCTGGGAACCAGCATGTGCTACAACCATTTGAATGCTCCACAAACGCAGGCTAAAAAGGCCTGGCAGGTAAAGGCAGCAAAGTGGAAACCACATTGAAAGCTTCCGCTAAGCAAGTTCAAAGAGTGGAGCATCAAGTCGACAATTCCCCAAAGAAGGTGAAAAGGGAAAATGAAGGCAGCCAGCTGGAAGGTGAAGGTACGGACTGTTGGGGGAGACTCTTTCTTGATGAGGAATCAACACTACGACAATTACTAGGTCCTCCAGTAGAGAGGTTAGAATAAGGATACCCTTCTTTGCTGTAGTCTATTTTAGTAGAAGAACCCTCCCTCAAAAAACGGTAAAAGGGCACGACTGGGGGACCTAGACATTAAGACAATTAAAGGGCCAGTTCATGAAACGGCCTCATTTGATTGTTCGACCAAATACCCGTCACCCGTTGTTGGACATTGGCAGGGGGGGGTAGTTTCCAGAAATGAATTTGAAAGAAGGGTGTTTCAGTACAAATCATCATCCTTATGCCGCTTCAGAATTTATTTGTTCGAGCCACCCCTTCAACATGGCGCAAAGGAAGTGCTCGAACTACTAACGCCTGACCACTTTAATAGGTATTGTTTAATCATGTCTGCAAGCTTATCAACAAGCTTGATCACTGCTGCAGAGCTCCGTCCGAAACTGGGAACGAAATTCACGAGCAAAAAAAACATCCGTCCCTGAGGGTCAACGTATCCTCTAGCGAAATATGTTGACCCCTTTAGCTCGGACAGCGGTCAGATTCTCTGATGTCTTCTGAACAGGAAGCCCAAGGAGAACTCACAACTTTGAAGCCCCTGATTTGAGAAACGCACGCACGCACATGGGCTTATATGGCCATGGGTCAAAGTCCCGTACCCCAGTGAACATCCCAATTTCACTAAAATAGACTAAAATGGGTGGTGCACCTACCCCAAAATGGTACCAGTGGTTTTGACCCACAGCCATATACCCCGTTCAAAAAACACAGCTTGCCGCGTTGCGTAGACCGTCACGGCGGGTCGAGACCCCTTTTGGCCAGTTTTCACTTGAGGATGCCGGGAACCCCAAATTCACATGGTGCGTTGGGGGTATCTCCAATGCGGTTCGCGACAAAAAAGACACCCGAGGAAAAACACAACATGCGTTGATATCCAAACATATGAATAGGATGCCCAAACAACTACCTACCAACATGCCGGACCTGGGTGGATGCGTTGGGATCAAACAATGGCCAAAAGAAGCGCCTGTGGGCAGTTGAACCCTGGAGTGAAATGTATGGACATTGGACCTTGGCAAAGGGGCCTTGTTTCTCACACGGATTGATTTTGTTTCTCGCGCGGGGCCCTTCCCAATGGCAACTGTCTCCTTTTGGTTTCATTTCCCTCTGTCCAAGCTCCCAACTAAAGCACACATGGTACAGCACTTACCAGCAAGTGTTCTGCTATGTTCCTCCAAAAAGTCCTGTTGCTGGTCTATTAGATAAATGTTCACGTTGGGGTAATCAAAATCCCCCCTACAATGAAGGGACATGGAGATGTTCGAGAATCCGATGACCCAACTCAAAGGGCAATGCCAGGTTCCTTACATCTGCAACGGCCAGGTTCCTTGACCAGAGGTCCCTACAGTTGCCTCTTCAACCCGTTTACACACCTCAATATTGGGCGCGCTCCCATGCCCTTTGCAAAAACATGTTGAGAGCTAGGGGGATGTTCCAATCCTCTACAAGAAGAGCCACCAACTCTTTCCAAACCAATAAACAAACAGTTCCTGTCGGACCCAATGCTTCAAGAAAGAACTACAGCCCCTGGTTACCCCTGGTTGACCCTGGTTCCCCCCATGTTCAACGAGTCAGTCTTGCATGATGGTTGTCCCAGGTTACCCGCAGTAACCTCAGATGCGTGGCCATGGGAGAAGAAGGGCACTCTTTTTTGGTTGAGTTGAAAGGGGAACCCTTACCCAAAAAGGAAAAAACGGGCACTGGGCAACAGAGTAACAGCAGTGGGGGATGTAAGCCGCGCTCACATGCCATGGCCAAGCTAAAACCTGCCGGGGCAACCCAGCGCTGACCCTTGCCGCAAGCGCCGATGGCGCTGTTCATGGCTACGGTGTTCACCTGCGAAACGAACGGTTGCAAGCGGGTTCCCAGAACATACCAGTGTGCACATCTATATATATATATATATATGCATATATACGCGGCATATTGGTTTGCCCTAAACGAAGCCCGGCTCCTTCAAGTCTTGCGCTCTTTGGAAAACCCGCCAGCTTTCCTTCGGCATCTCTTTCAAAGTGCGGGAGTCCTTGAGATGGATCGAATTTTAAACAAGGAAACACGTCGCTCACAAAAACGGTCCACTGGCTTAATGATGTGCTTTCCACATTGGGTTTGATGCTGTTCCTGGTTGAGCTCTGACGTTGCTCCCAAGTCGTTCCCATACTCCTGATCATCCGACAGGGGCCTTCAGCTGGTATTGGCCCAATAGTCAACATGGACGCTTGATTTGCTTTTTGTTTTTAATCCTGGTTTGTCTGATGGCCCTTGGCAGCCCCTAAGATTCAGGATCGCTGTTGTTTGACGGGAAATTCAAGGGGACCACCATTGTTGGAAACAGCCAAATGCTGTTTCGCGGGCTTAGCCAAACGGTTCACAGTGAAACGCCGCGCCTGAACTGTCCGACTCTGCATCTCCTCCATCATGGCCAGAGCCTGAAAGGAGTCAACCAAATCACGGTTCTCCCACGGCGACATCACCTAGTTACAGGCTTGCTCCAAACCCCGGTACAAGGCAAAGATGCTTGGTCCCTAAGGGCAGATCAAACAACACACAGGTTACCAGGTTTCGATCATCCTTCCGCGACTCGGAGCAATCCTTCTAGGGGTTGATTCCCCCTTCTTTTCAACCATCGTTCTGTTCAAAAACCGGATCCGTTTCCCCTGCGAGTCTGGTGGATTTTTTGAAAGAAGGATCCCTAGAAAGAATGGGGAAGGTAATTCTAGAATCCTGTGGGTCAAGCATCCAAGCAGCCCCGAATCAGCAACTCTCACCGGTCCTCCCGCCATCGCTCCCCCTTCCTCGGTGCGGATTTGTTTGTCGCAAACGTGGAAATAAATCCACGGACCCTTTTGTGGCTCAGAAAAAGATACCAAAATGGCCATGGGCCAAAATCCCAAAGCCCGTACCTCCAGTGAACATCCGATTCAATCCAACCACTAAAATAGGAAGCCTAAAATGGGTGGTGAATTCACCTACCCCAAAATGGTACCATTGGTTTTGACACACAGCCAAATGGCACCTCGGTAAATGAAGTAAATGGAAAGACTAAAACCTGCGTAACCCTAGCTCTTTACTTTTGAGCCATACCCCTTTCTGGAACAAGCTTGCTTAAAGGGCTACGTTGAGAACCCATAACACTCAAAACAATGGAATCATAATGACACCAAATATTGTCGACCCCTTCACAAATCCAGTAATTCCGCCGTGGACTCCACAGTAAGAAGGGACTCCCCACCAAAAAGCGAACCCCCTGATTCCCTGATTGATGCCAAGGGTCATCAGGGGTTGACGTTTCTTCCATTGAGACTGCCGACTGCACCGTTCCCCACATTTCCCTTTAAACCACACCAGTCCCACCAAAAGACAGCAGCTCACTTAGCTTTCAGCCTCAACCGCCAAAAGGGGGAGCATACCTACTCCAAATACCCCCAAACAAGATGTGTTTTGTCTTGGAAAGCCTGGACAGCTCAGATGCCCAGAGGATTTCCGTGAAAAAAGGGGATCCTCTTTTGGTTGGTTGAGTTTCAAGGGAAACCCTGCCCCACACAAAAAGGAAAAAGGGGCGGAATCCAGGCTAGAAATCCGGCCAGGGATCAAAATCCAAATCGCCCGTGCCCCCAGTAGACATCCGATTCAATCCAACCACTAAAATCGGAAGCCTAAAAATTCACCAATCCCAACCAAAATGGGGTATCCCAAAACGGTTTTCACAACCACTGCCACTTTCCTTTCAGCCACCATGGTGCAGTTTGGGCTTCGCACTCATTCCCGGGTGTCAAACGGGTTCGCAAGCCGTGCGGATTTCACCTGTGAATCACCTCCCAAACCGCCATGTCAGCCAAGCCTTCCATTTGCGGATACGCCCCCTGGATTTTTTTATTTTTTTTTTTTTTATCAAAATCATTCAACATCCACGAGTGATCGGAACCATGGGATCCAG